ACTCAAAGACACTTTACATAAAGACAACATAAAAGCAGCAAAACAACATAAAATTGTAAAACACTAAAAACACATTGGACTTAGCTAAACATTAAAAGCAATTTTAAAAAGGTGAGTTTTTGTCATTGATTTGAATGCTGGAAGGTCGGTGCAGTCACGGATTTGTTTGTAGACGTGTGTGATGCATATGCATTAATGTGGATTCAAATGTTTGTATGGGTAAGTGTATGAATAAAATATGAAAAACTGAAGTCACTTCACACTAAAGTCATGCACGGTCCTTTTATTCTTTAAAGAGAATAAATTCTTTCTTCTCACTGACATCTGTCAACGCTTTTTCTTACTAATAGTATAATGAGTGTGCATGATTATTATTATAGGTTATTATAATAGGTTATGCTAGTATATAACCACTATGATAGAAAAATGTCCAGGTTTTCCTAGAGACAATTGTGCTATTTTGAAGTATTAGAGGTTATTTTAGGCTCAAAACCTTGGATTAGGGCAGATCAAGGTTATAGATTATAAAACATATGCTCTTAACACAGTGTGTGTAGTACTTTTATATCATGATATTGATATATATATGATGATATAAAATATTTTCATAATCAATTGAGAAATGAAGTAAATGGAATTTGAATTGAACTGAATTAAAAAAAGAGAGAGCAATGTCAATGATGCCAAATTGTATATAAAAATCCAGAATTTGTTCATGCGTACTTCCCCACCTGGAGAAAAAGCTGCGCTGGCCCGTAGACGAGGTGTCTCCATCGTACGAGTCGCTCTGCTTACGGCTGAGTGGCGGCCCGGCCTGGCTGTGGCCTTCGTTAGGGGCGGAGATATCAATGTTGCTCTTACTCAGCCTCTTGCTAGAACTCAGACCTGGGCTGGACTCCCCGAGCAGGCCCGAGTTATCCTGAGAGGAAACAGGAGAATGTGAAACTTATTGTCAAGCGTCATACATTCATGCAGCAATGGATGCACCAGGGAATCACACATAATCAGGTGGAAGTTGATGCATTTTCCCAGGTGAACCGTTAAATGTGGGAGGGAAAAGCTGTGCCTGTGCGAGAGTGGATTTGAATGGAAGAAGAGAAGGAGGGAATAACTGACAAGAAAGTGGGGATCATGTAACGATTAGTAAGGGGAAAAGGCCCTTAAATCACAAGCTGCTTCAGTAGTGCAATCCAGTACAAATATTATAATGAACTCAGAAACAAAAAATCCCCATCACATCACCCACTGAATACTCATGATCCACACATACAAAATTAAACTCCACAGTGACATTTATTTACGGCTTTTATGTATGAGACTTTCAAAAAACACAGCGCCAAGGACATTGCCTCTGGTGTACAGTGACATTTCTAAAAGCTGTGTCGTGCAGAAAAACTGACGGGAAATAGACATATCAGAGGTGAATTCTGTGTACGAGAGTCTCTGTTTACTAGAGAGGACAGGGAGTTGTGCCAAGGACATTGCCACCGATGTTCATGTGCACGCTTGTTGTAATTAACTCCACTGATGAAAAACAAGGTATAACACAGGCATGTAATCTTGATCATTTGCAGTGATCTCTTCATTGTTTGTCACCAGTAAAAATATTCTTTGACCAGCTGTGAAGAGTGTCCCAAACCCTGTACAGGTCTGCATATCGTTATCACTGTAATAGTGAGTTCCTACCTTCAGGCTCTCAGTGCTGTTGTTCCTGCTACTGTTGTTGGGGCTGCCAGGCCTCTGGTGGTTGCTGAAGCACAAAGCGTCAAAGCACAGCACACCTCCCACACAGTCGCCCATCAGGCATACCTGCTCAGAAAAAAAGATGTAATTTAGACGCCCTCGGCATATGGTGCACTCAGTCAGTGAAAGCTTTAACAGTAGGACATTTGGAGAGGTGTATGAATGGAATGAAAAAAGTGAGAAATCAACATTTCCCTGGGACAGGAAGGCATGACACTCACTGTGCACCAATCCCATAATATATATAGCTATACATATAACTATAACTACCATAGTATACTGCTTTTAAAAATTAGTGTACAAGGAATCAATGGGCCATTTCCTACTAGCAGGTAATGCAACCTACAATCTCCGACCACTAACTGCTAATAAAACTTCAGAAACAGAGCAAAACTATTTAAAAAAAAAAAATTGTTTTAGTTGTTTTTTTTAACCATTCTGGAGCTGTTTACAGTTCACAATTCATTTTAATGTTTTGCAGCTGTGAGCATCTCCTCCATTTCCTGCGTGCATTCACAAATCAAGCATTTTTTAAATGCTGCGTTCACAACATATCATTCAGACTGTAATTATGAGCGACCAAGTGGGAAACAATGTTCAAGTAGGCAGAGTAAGTATTGGCAATTCCTGGCAGCTATGATATCTCCCACTTGGTGAAATAAGTGATTCAGGCATTTGAAATGGGCATTATAACCATTTTGAATAAAGTGTGAATACTCAAAAGTCAGAATAATGGAAGGTTTTCTCATTCTTCCCGTTCCTCCGGCCTATGTGTGTGTAAAATATTGAGTGAAAGGGAATTTTCCGGGTGCCCGGTTAGCTCAGTCGGTAGAGCTGGCGACCCATGTACGAAGTTGCTGCAGCGGCCCGGGTTTGAATCCGACCTGCGCCTTTGCTGCGTGTCCATCCCCTCTCTCTGCCCCCTTTTCCTGTCTATCTTCGGCTGTCACTATCAATAAAAGCAATAAAAGGCCAAAAAAATAACTATAAATATAAAGTTAATCTTCTTTTTCTTCTTCTTCTGCCAACAGTGGGTGAATTCATCATTAGTATGCAATCTCTATTGCGCATCCTTAAACACACTGTGTTCCCTGTGTCGATCCATATGACTTGTACTGCATCAACAGGCAATAAACAATTAAAAATCTACAGCGTTACAATGAAAGACCCCACAGCTAATTATAATAAAGGCAATTACACAAAACAATCTGTAGAAAAAACGGTGCAGAGCAATGAGGGGACGCGGTTTGAATTTAATCATCTTAATGAGCCAACCAAGTTGTAAAATATAGTGGACCTGCAAAATATTATAGACCAGAATATAAATCGTAGGGTACACAAAGTATAAACCTATGACAACCAATCGACTCACAATAGCAAGAGCCAATCAAGAATATCACATAGTGGTGTAATTTCATTTACTGTAATGCAGTGTTGTGAACTTCCTTTTCACTTTATGTAATGTCTTTTGTTGTTGCTGATTGGCTAATCAGGATTGTATTGACCAGTGGCTGTCAAACATGTGCCATCATTTAAAACGAGCAGCACTGCAGCGAAAAATAAATAAACAACAATCATTTGCTGGACAATACACTTGTTGACTTGACTTATTTATACATTTAGAATAGGTAATATGCAAAGAGAAGTTGTGTTTCAGAGCCCTAACTTAATTCTTTTAAACATAACTCAGTCTTCTCACAGATCATTACCTCACTAGAAAATGCAGCTTGTTACAAAGAGCCTAGTAGTTATGTACAAGAGAGGTAAATGTGGTCTGCTTAAACAATAGAGATCTGCAGCCCTCCCAGGGCTTGAGTTCCCATAGATTAAACAGCCCACTCAAAAGAGATCTTCACTTCCTTTGACAATCATTAACTTCTATTAAAGTGCCTACAGCTCATTATTCAATGATGAAAGACTACAGTGAAGGGGTTCTCCTCTCTCTTCTCCTCTCCAACCAGAAGAAGGCAAGACAGACCTGACCCGTGAATCCCTGCCCGTCCTCTGACTGCAGGAAGCTGTGGTAGACCTGGTTGGCTCGGGCGATCACGGTCGCCACCGCGTCTTGGTAGCGAGGTGAGACAATGGCGAGGAGGGGGAGAGCTGCCAGGGGCAGGTGGTCCACGCTGCTGGACACACAGCTCTCATCGTAGCTGTATGGGTTCAGGCTGGTAGAAGAAGAAGCAAGGTAATATGGATGGAAGGGGAAGAAGGAAGGTACAGTATGAAGAAACAAGACTTGCATTAATCATTTTATGTCTTTACAAAGCCCTTTAGGAGTTTCTCCTTACAACTTTGTAAAATGTCACCAGTTTCTAATCCACAGTAATACCAAAATAAATGAAGGTTATGTTAATTTAATTAAGGTCATGATGTCCAAAATCAAAGATTTTTCAGGTGTTCCTTTTGTGATTCACTTCCCCTTGACTTTCCTACCTTTATTAATGTCTCATCCAATCAGTTCATGATGCACTTTATCTGATTTGAGGCAATGCTACTGTGTGTGTGTGCTTGTATGTGTTTGAGAGTGTGTGTGTACACAAGAAAGATAAGGAGCAGAAGGATGTTTTCTCACGGAATAAGACAAAAGCAAACCTGCACAGATAACAGCGATGAGAGCAGAGTCTTTGTGTCTTCCCTGCTAGGTTTGTGTGTGTGTGTGTGTGTGTTTGTGTGTGTGTATGTCACAGTGACAGTGACAGTGCCAATACGGATCAAGCCAGACACTTCAGGTGACAGCGCGGGGAAACAGTAAAAGATGGCGTTGCCCCTGCACTCTTCCCTTGAACAGCCCTGCCAACCCCGCCACCATCCATCAGGTGCTCTGATTACAGGAAGAAGCAGCAAAGCCACACCAAGGCTGAAATATGTCAGCGACCATGGACACAGAGAAGGGCACAACCTCACAGATTATAAAGGCTGACTGTTTTCATGTAGCACTGACATCATTTATTTTATGATGCTACATGTTGGGAATTGCTCTCCCTTAGATTATAAAATCAATAATAATTTCATCTCTGTTCAGTCTATTCAATACAACATGAAAGGGAATATAACATTCCTAGTTTATAATCACCTGAAAATCAGAATTGTGTGACCTGATTTTATCTACAGATGCCGGGGGCCTTTGGAGGCCGCTACGTTGAACCACCATGTTTCTACAGTAGCCCAGAACTGTCAAATGCAACACTAGCTCTAGATAGGGCTGTTGGTATTTTTCATGTATGTTGTGGCCACCGTAGTACTTGGAAGTGGAGGTTGAAGCGAGGGAGTTGCAATCTGCAACTTAACTGCTAGATGCCACTAAATCCCACACACCAGTCCTTTAAATCAATATTATTCTTCTAATCTAATCTAACTAAGTAAGGATTTCCCAAAACATGGGATATGCTCATGTAGTTCTGCTAATTGGACTGGCATAAACCAAGGAAGCCCACTGTGCCTCTGGGGGTTTGTGAACTGTGTTTAATTAGAGCCAAACATTGTGTTGTCATGGTTACAAAAGAAAAAATGGAGCCTGTGTACCAGAAAAAAAAACTTTCTCCCCACTCTGGTAACAATTGGGACCAGAAAAATTAAAAAAATTAAAGTTAATTAACCAGAATTTGAAGAAATTTGAGAACTTCTTCTAAAAAAAATCATCCAGCTCCATTATCATCACTTTTTTTTTTTCTAATTACAGCCACAATTTTTCATTACCACATGTTTATAGCAGGCATGGACAATTTCTGTTGCAATTACAAAGCACTGTGCTGCAGGCTTTGGGAAACCTGTCGGGAAGAAAAGAGACACTGGATGTCATTGTTTTGCTCCCAGCAACACAGTGTTCACCAGTCAGTCTGTGACATCTGCATTGGATAAAGCCACCTCCACATTACCCGCTGCCTACATCACAACAAATAATGACAGATCTGTGTTGGAAGGCAATTATGTACAGCCACTAGAGTAAACAGATTGAAATATTTAAGTCTATTCTGCTTGCATCTAAAAGCCACATTACAAAATCTAAGCACCCGACTGTTGTTTGTACCTTTGACCCGCTCTGAGCAGGTGGGTGCCGCAAGCAAAAACACCAGTGATACTTGACACTGAAGTTGCACTGTGCCATTGATTGCTGCTGACACGCCCCCTACTGCGCCTCTTCTGCCAGTTGGGTGAAGTCGAGTTCACAGCAAGTCAACAAAATATCAAGCGGGTGCAGGTGAGAAAAAAAACTGTGTGACACCAACGAAAATGCCATCTTGTCGGCCGGAGCTGCAATGTGCCCTGATGTGTCACAAAAACAAACCCTGCACAATCAGCCCTCGGAGGGATAGTGTGCAATTATAAATAGGAAGTAGGAGTAATCTCAAAGTCAGAAGATATTTACCCTGTGCTGTCTGGAGGAATGGGGAATATTGAGCTTAGTTTAGCTCAACATCTGTATTAGTATGTGATAAAACAGGAGCTCCTCTCAAAATTAGATATATGTCTGCCAAATATCTAAAATATATCAGACTGTTCTGATTAAGTTCAAGAATACATTGGAAATTTTTTTGTTTTACCCAGTGGTTTCCAAACTTGCTGTCACACCATGCCACAATTTTGTAGCAATTATTAACAATGATAGGGGGAGAACCAAAACTAATAAAAAAAGGATCCAAGTTGAACTTTAGTGAAATAAAAGTCAGCACAATAGCATCAGCAAACTCTTATTTATTTCCTACATAAATCATATTCATCCAGCTTTGTTCCATTCCATATTTTTCCCCTGGTCATCCACGCCACACCTGCAGTGGCTTTAATCCCCACCACTGGGGCCCGACCCACAGTCTGACAACCACTGGTTTAGTATGTAGTGAAAGATCCAATCCTCTTCCTATTTAGATTCACACTGCGACTTCATATAAATAAAAGTATGTGTTTTAGTAAAAGTAGTTCCCTTTTTTATGTATATTTGAAAACATTTAGTGAGCAAAACTGGCTAGATGAGTACAAAATGAAACCATCAGCTCTAACCTCGTCTTCAAAATATCCACAAATAGAGTAAAAAAGAACAGTTTGTCAATTTACTTCTATCTGTATGTAAGATGACACAGTGAAAATCAACTGTGCAACTTGAGCACAGGCAAAATCAAGTTGTACAAACTTAAATTATAATCACACGTTACTGTGATTACGCCTACTGCAATTAATTGTAAGATAATATTGTTTATGTCGGCTTTGCCTTCGTTTTATTGCCTTAATCATATTATAATTGTTATAATTCAATGAGCATGTAAATGTGGGAGGAAACGTAAAAACTATTCATATAAATTGTTGACAGTTTCCCTTATGATTTTACAGTAGAAGCTCAGTGAACGTTTGAGCTGTGTCGTTCCTGTAGCTCCACTCATGGCAGTCTCCCGTCAGACTAGTTGCAATTAACAAGCAGCATTGAGGGGAGTCACATAGCAGGATGTGGCTGTGATGTGTAGCTGCCTGTATAGAGATCACCTAAAGCCTCTTGAAATGCTGTTTGCATCCACGGTGTCAGCTCTGTACTTAGTGAACCCTGCTCTCGAGGGCAGCTCTTTGAGACAGATTCAACGCTTTGAGCCGCTTCCATGCAGATTTGTAAGAAAACAGGAAAAAGGCGAACCTTTGTAATATATTCACTGGAACGGCACTGCACACTGTTATTTGCATAACAACAGTGTCACTCCTTCTGCAGAAGCTGCTGAGTGAAATATTCAGCTCAGACAAATCAAGCGCAGATATGGCAATGTATTGCTCAAAGAGGAAGACTTGCTGTGTCATGATTTAAACCACGATGGTTTGTTTATCAGGTGCCTGTTTATTGAGTTTTGGAACTGAAATGAGAAATCCCAACATCCCAGCTAAGAGCCACTGAGGGTTTTGGTTTCCGAGCTTTCTAGCCACCCGGTCTCGATCTTATTAGAGTCTTGTTAACAACTGCTGCTCGCACACACTCTCAAATCACACAGCAACTTACTCACTGAGAACTCAAAACAAAAAGCTCCAATTAATATTCCAAACATAGCTCTACCTCTGAACAGGGTTCACAAGTCGCAGGACAGGAACAGAGGTTTAACACCTGCTGCACTGCTCAACAAATGTCAGGTGAAACACTCATTATTTGCGTTGCATAATTACTTGATTATGCAAGCACTTGTTAGTATCATTACCACGGAGCAGCTACTGTTTTACATTCAAGAGTGCACATAAATTATTTGTTTGTGTGTGTGTGTGTCAAACTGTTCTCTCGGTTATTTGCTGAGGCAGTTTGAAGGTATAACGTCCTAGAGGGCTGCAGGTTATTCTCATAATCGATGGTCCTAATTAATTTGAGGCGACCATCAACATCTTTGTCTATACAAACATGTGCTTTGGAAAAGGCTGCTCCACCAAATCCCATTTGCATTTAATGGCTATAATTAATCTTAATAACCCTAAGTCATTTCCTCTAAAATGCTAGTGATCAATATACAGTAGTGGTGGCTGTGATACCAGGCATACAGTTTTGCTGTTAGGAACAGAAAGAGCTCTACAGTCTGGATATGAATGCAGATTTAAATCCTTAATTTGGAGAACCTGCTCATCCAAAATGTCATTCAACATGCTACAGGAACGATAAACTTGACATCCATGACAGCACAGAGATGGCAGATAATTAAAATATGCTACTTGGGAGGCTCTTCAAAAGAGGCACATCAACTGAGACCTGAATGGCAGAGGAGCGTGCCTCACGTCGCTATGACGAGCATGCCCCTGTTATTTCAAAATTTGAGTCATTCGCTCATGAGCGGCGGCATTTACCCTGCTCACATCTCTCTGCTCTTATTAGCAAAATGCAAGCGATATTGACTGAGGTCATATGGACGTGTCATCAAAGTGCACTTCTTTGATGACTCACTTACATAACTGAAAAAACGTCAAAAAACCTCATTTGCTGCTTTGTTATGAGCGACACGTGGCTTTAGGGCTGTAAGGTTATCCTTTATCTTTGCTTTATAGAGCTTTACAGTTTAGCGCTTTGCCTTTGATTGCCATGTTAATTTGTCAAGAAGCACTGTCAGACACTCACTCAATGACACCTAAAGTCAGGGTAATTACGGTTTCATTCTATACTGAGAGATGCACAGAAGTCTTCCTCAAGGTTTCATGGCAATGTAACGATGAAGAGATC